ACTCCATCTCAAAAAAAAAAAAAAAAGCTAGTGTCGTGGTGCATGCCTGTATTCCCAGATACTCAGGAGGCTGAGGTGGGAGGATCACTTGAGCCCAGCAGGTCCAGGCTGCAGTGAGCTGTAATTGCAACATTGTACTCCAGCCTGGGCAACACAGCTAAACCCTGTCTCTCTAATAAATAATAATAATAATAGTAATAATAATTCTAGCTTTCTAGATTATTCTAGCTTTCTAAATTATTATTAAATATATGGACACCCACTCTGCACTCAGCCCCTCAAAGAGAAGCCAGTCCCGTAGAGATGGGGCCGACTGGTGAGGTCAGGACTGGCCCACAGAAGAGGGGAATTCAGAGGTGGAATGGGCGTTGCAGCAGGAGTCAGGAAGGCGGGAGAGGGTCGGTCTCAGCGGATTTGGTTGACAAGCACTGCACAGAGTGATTTAAGCTGTGATGAGCAAACTTCAGGCACAGAATACCCAACTGGAGAATGGGGCATCGGGAATCCCCAGTACAGCCAGGAATCAAAGCAAGACTAGCGGCCGGGCACAGTGGCTCACGCCTGTAATCCCAGGGCTTTGGGAGGCTGAGGCGGGCAGATCACTTGAAATAAGGAGTTCGAGACCAGCCTGACCCACATGGTGAAACCCCATCTCTACTAAAAATACAAAAATTAGCTGGGCGTGATGCGCACGACTATAGTCCCAGCTACTCTGGAGGCTGAGGCAGGAGAATCGCTTGAGCCCAGGAGGTGGAAGTTGCAGTGAGCCGAAGTTGTGCCACTGCACTCGTCTGGGTGACAGAACAAGACACACACACACACACACACAGACCAAGACTGGCCAGGAGAGCCTTCTGCAGAATCTATTCTCCCTTCTGTGCCTGTCTTGGGAAGCTGAGCATGGCTGGAAAAAATCCTCAAGGCTGCAACTGGGTCTCAAGGGCCATTTTATTGCTCAATGATGACACAAAAGTATTTAGCAATGCCTCGAATGACCCTGGTGCTCTCCATCTCTGAATTTCCTTTTTTTTTTTTTTTTTATTTGAAGATTTTGAAGATGGGGTCTCACTGTGTTGCTCAGGCTGGTCTCGACCACCTGGGCTCCTGCAATCCTCCCACTTCAGCCCTCCCCCAGTATCTGAGATTACAGGCACGCACCACTGCACTCCAGCATCTGATTCTTGTTGCTGTTGTTTTGAGACAGGGTTTCACTCTGTTGCCCCAGACTGGAATGCAGTGGTATGATCATAGCTCCCTGCAGCCTTGGATTCCTGGACTCAAATCATGATCCCGCATCACCCTCCCAAAGTGCTGTGATTACAGGTGTGAGCCACTGTGCACGGCCTCATGGGCCATTATCTTAAAGGTTTAGCATATGCTAACAGATATCATCTCCTATCTAGGTTACAGGCATCTTCAGACTGCAGACCTCAGTCGTGTCTGCCCTGCCTGCTGCTCACCCCACATCCTGTTGACTCTTTTACAAAATTTCTTAAGTCCGGTCCCTCCTCTCCCTTCCTTCCTTGGGTCCCTGTGTCTTCTGCTGCCTCACCCCATCCTTCGCCAGATTGCACTAGCCTCCCCTGCACACACACACACACACACACTTCCTCACCCTACATTAAAATGATCTTTGTTTTTTAAAGCAAATGAGTTTTTAACTGAATAATTAAAAGAAAAAATTTTAATTTATTTTTGTTTTACTCTTATATGTATGTATGTATTTATTTTTGAGATGGAGTCTCGCTCTGTCACCCAGGCTGGAGTGCAGTGGCACAATCTTGGCTCACCACAACCTCTGCCTCCCAGGTTCAAGTGATTCTCCTGCCTCAGCCTCCCGAGTAGCTAGGATTACACGAAGGCGCCACCATGCCCGGCTAATTTTTGTATTTTTAGTAGAGATGGGGTTTCACCATGTTGGTCAGGCTGTTCTCGAACTCCTGACCTCGTAATTCACCCGCCTAAGACTCCCAAAGTGCTGGGATTACAGGCGTAAGCCACCATGCCTGGCCTTTTGTTTTATTTTCTTAGAGACACGGTCTTGCTCTGTTGCCCAGGAAGGAGTGCAGTGGCATGAACACAGCTCACTGCAGCCTCTAAATTCTGGTCTCAAGCGATCCTCCCACCTCAGCCTCCCAAAGTGCTGGGATTGCAGGCTTGAGACACCACGCCCGGCCCAAAAAAAACTTTTTTAATTAAAAATCACAAAAGTGAAAACTCAATCTCTCTCCCACTCAAACATCCCTGTTCCTCTCCCTAGTTTTTAAATATCTCCTAAAGGTATTCTCTGCATATAAAAGCCCATAGGGGGCTGGATACTGTAGCTCATACCTGAAATCCCAACACTTTGGGAGGCTGACGCGGGTAGATCACTTGAGCCCAGAAGTTCTAGACCATCCTGGGCAACGTGACAAAACCCCATCTCTACAAAAAATATAAAAATTAGCTGGGTGTGGTAGCACATACCTTTAGTACCAGCTACTAGGGAGGCTGAGGTAGGAGGATCACTTGAGCCCAGGGAGGTTGAGGCTGCACTGAGCTGTGATCACATCACTGCACTCCAGCCTGAGCAACAGAGTGTGACTGTGTCACAAACAAACAAAAAAGCCGGATGCAGTGGCTCATGCCTGTAATCCCAGTACTTTGTAAGCCCAAGGCAGATGGATTGCTGAGGCCAGGAGTTCAAGACTAGCCTAGCCAACATGGCAAAATCCTGTCTCTACTACAAATACAAACAAAAATTAGCCGAGCGTGGTGGCGCAAGCCTGTAGTCCCAGCTACTTGGGAGGCTGAAGCAAGAGAATTGCTTGAACCCAGGAGGCGGAGGTTGCAATGATCCAATATCATGCCACTGCAAAGCGTCCTGGGGGACAAAGTAAGACTCTGTCTCAAAAAAAAAAAAAAACAAAGTGCATTTAAGTACAATTTGCTTTACAGATGGAAATACATTGCACATAAAACCTACAGTTATGGCCAGGTGCAGTGGCTCATGCCTGTAATCCCAACACTTTGGGAGGCTGAGGTGAGCGGATCACCTGAGGTTGGGAGTTTGAGACCAGCCTGACCAACATGGAGAAACCCGTCTCTACTGAAAATACAAAATTAGCCGGGCGTGGTGGCACATGCCTGTAATCCCAGCTACTCAGGAGGCTGAGGCAGGAGAATCGCTTGAACCCAGGGGGCAGAGGTTGCAGTGAGCCGAGATCACGCCACTGCACTCCAGCCTGGGTGACAGTGCCAGACTTCGTCAAAACAAACAAACAAACAAAAAACCTACAGTTGCCTAGAACTCAGCAAACACCTCTTGAATGGCAGCATGATGTATCATAGAGATCTAAGATGTTAGGTCTACCTTACTACCCTCTCAACAGCCCATCCTCCTCCAAGTGACTGCCAGGAATCAGATGATGCGCCTCCCCCTGCTAAAAATTCATCAGTGGTTACAACAGAAACCACACTCCTCTCTCTGCACCACTCCCATGGCCCTGCATGACCTGCCTTGCACCATATTCACTTTCTGACCTCCACACCCCCGCTCCACTCTACCCCAGTGGTGCTCTCATCTCCTCGCTGCTCTTTGACCAAAATAAGCCCGTCCCACCCCACTCCAGGACATCTGCACCAGCTATCTGGTAAAGCCCCCGCTCCTCGGGCTTTCCACCAGCTCACTCCTTGATCATCTGGAGACAGCTCCGAAGTCACCTCCTCAGAGTGGCTTCCCTGACCCATCACTTCCACATTTCATTGTTTCCTTCATTGCACTGAATAGGACAAAAGATTGTTTTTGCACTTGTTGATTTACTATTTCCCCATTTTAATTTATTTTTATTTCACTTTTAGAGATGGGGTCTTGCTTTTTCGACCAGGCAGGAGTGCAGTGGTGCCATCACGCTCACTGCAGCCTCGACCTCCCTGGCTCAAGCGATGCTGTTTACCCATTTTAAAATGTGAGTGAAAGGGGAGGCGAGGTGGCTCACGCCTGCAATCCTAACACTTGGGAGGCCGAGGCGGGAGGATCGTTTGAGCCCAGGACTGGCCTGGGCAACACAGAGAGATCCTGCCTCTAAAAAGAATGTAATAAGTAGCTGGGCACGGTGCCGCACGCCAGTAATCCCAGCTACTCGGGAGGCTGAGATGGGAGGATCGGCTGAGCCCAGGAGGTCAAGGCTGTAGCGAGCTATGATCGCATCACTGCGCTCCAGTCTGGGCGACAGTGCAAGACCCTGTCTCAACACTATAAAAAATAAAGAAGAACTGGCCGGGCGCGGTGGCTCACGCCTGTAATCCCAGTACTTTGGGAGGCCGAGGCGGGCAGATCACCTGAGGTCAGGAGTTCACGACCAGCCTGGACAACATGGTGAAACCCCGTCTCTACTAAAAATACAAAATATTAGCCAGACGTGGTGGTGGGCGCCTGTAATCCCAGCCACTTGGGAGGCTGAGGCAGGAGAATCGCTTGAGCCTGGGAAGCGGAGGTTGCATGAGCCGAGATCGTGCCATTACACTCCAGCCTGGGCAGCAAGAGCGAAACTCCGTCTCAAAAAATAAATAAATAAATAAAATAAGAACTGCTGTTTATCGCCTGTCCAGGGCTGATGTTGGGACAAGACTAGAGGGGATGAAGGTGCCCATTTTGAACCCGGACCTCTGTTCACGGAGTCGCCTGAAGTGCGCTCTGATTACCCTGGGATAGCAAGACTCCACCAGCGTCCAAGTTGCACTCCACGTTCACTCTGCCCTCAGGCCCCGCCCCCTACCGAACGCCTTGCGCAGGCCCCGCCTCCAACATCGCGAGAGCCGAGAGACGGAAAATGGCGCTGACGTGAGCGCGAGCTCGCATTGCCCAGAGGGTGGCCGCCGCCTAAACTGGAGCCGCCGAAGCCGCAGGAACAAGAGGCCGAGCCGTGTCGAAGATGGTGAGCGCGGCACCGGGGTCGC